GGGATAATACTATGACACATTAGAGTTTATATATGAAATAAAACGTTCTGGCACCTTGAAATGGTGCCACAACGATTATATGGGTGCCACTTGGCCCATATATATCCGAATTTGGTGCCTTAACGCCTGTTTGTACATATATATATATATATATATATATATATATATATATATACAGGGTGTTTCTTTTAACTTGAGACAGATCAATATCTCGAGAAATACGCATTTCACGGAAAAATGTCTTAAATAAAAGGTTAATGTGACTAAAGGGGACATTATTTGGTGCTACCGCTAGCCACCCCTACCCCTCCTTAAGGGTGAAACGGGGGGTAACTTTGGAAAGTCAAATGGAATGACCCGATTTTTTTCACAGAGTTTGGTAGTACATAAAAAAATAAATAACTTTTATTTAAAACTTTTTTCAATTTATCAACAGATGGCGCTGTAATTCAAAATTTAAGAAAAATGAGTTTCATTGTAAAATGTATTATTTGAAACGTTTGAAAAACAAAAATTAACATTAACAACAATAGTCGGCTATGAAAAAAATTTATAACAAATGTTCGAAATGTCGTCATTCCATTTCAACACATTTTTGAATGCGGGTAATGAATTCTGGCACACAACGCGCCAACATGTCGGGCGGTATCGCCGCACAGGCGTTCCTGATCCGCTCCACCATGTCCTCCCAAGTTGTAGGAATTGCAGCGTAAACTTTTTCTTTCAAGTAACCCCACTGGAAGAAGTCGGGTGGCGTAAGATCAGGTGATCGAGCAGGCCAAATTACTGGACCACGTCTACCGATCCACCGCGGTGCACCTGCCATTGAACTCCCGATCCAACACCTCTCGAGCAATTGCCGAATAATGTGCAGGACAACCATCTTGCTGGTACCACATGTTTTGGAGCCGTGCTAGTGGTACAATAAAGAATGGTCCGATTAATCGTTCGCTTAAGGTACCGCACCAAACGTTTACCGACCAGGGACGCTGGTGCTCCACTTGGTGTCGAAATGGAAGGACGACATTTCGAACATTTGTTATAAATTGTTTTTAGAGCCGACTATTGTTGATTTAATGTTAATTTTTGTTTTTCAAACGTTTCAAATAATACATTTTACAAGGAAACCCCTTTTTCTTAAATTTTGAATTACAGCGCCATCTGTTGATAAATTGAAAAAAACTTTCAAATAAAAGTTATTCATTTTTTATGTACTACCAAAATCTGAGAAAAAAATCGGGTCATCCCTTTTGACTTTCCAAAGTTACCCCCCGTTTCACACTTAAGGAGGGGTAGGGGGTGGCTAGCGGTAGCACCAAATAATGTCCCCTTTGGTCACATTAACCTTTTATTTAAGACATTTTTCCGTGAAATGCATATTTCTCGAGATATTGAGCTGTCTCAAGTTAAAAGAAACACCCTGTATATACAGGGTGTTATGTAATTAATGTTATATATTAAAATACTGAATACCTTTTGACATAAGGTGTAATGGAAAAATATTTTAAAAGATATTTTCCCAAAGATAAAGAAAATATATGAATTAGAAGTTTTTTATATTTTTTGTGATACGCCACTGGTTACACACTTGTGTTCTGTCAGTACATAGATACAAACCAACAAAGTAGCTGCGCGTTGCCAGTTGTAAAAAAATTGTTACTAAAAAATTTTCTTGCAAAAATTAAATAAAAACTCAATAAATACAAAAGTTTTATGCCCTTAAAGCTCTAATACCATTCTGTATTTATTTACTCATCCAGCTATTAACTTAAGCAATGAAATTAGTACCTAACTATTTAAAAACTCCATAAAATTAATTTTTTCATCGGTTTTTTTCTTTCTGTTTACTCAGATGAAATTAGGACAAGTTCACAGGTTAATCGTTAAACATTCAATTTGTGTAAATAAATCCAAACTCCCAAAATCACTTCCCTTAGTTAAGATATTTACAATTAAAGCACATAACCTAAAATTTTTTGACAGTGTTACCAACCATAACATAATAAATTAAATTGGACAAAGTAAATCATTACGAATTATGATATTAGTTTACAAATTTTTACAAGGTCTAATTCTAAAATCTAGCGATTTCAGGTTTTTATTTTTTTTCAAGTTTTTTCAGGTTTTTATTCTTTTATAAATATTTTGAAAGTTGAAAAAATTGTATTTCAGTTGTATAATCTGTGTTGTATTTTATTAGTAATAATAATAAGTAATTTGTGCGAAAGATTTTATGCTATGGCGGGTCGGGCGCTCACAAATATTGAATTAACAAATATGGTTTTGTGTTACGGGGAAGCGATGCAAAATACTCGTCAAGCAAGAATTTTGTATATTCAAAATTATTACAACGCCAATGACGGACATCCACCGCCCTCGGAGCAAAGTTTTGTACGTGCTGTGCAAAATTTAAGGGACCGCGGAAGATTTAGCGCATTTGTTGGTGATAGGGGTCGGGCCCTTGAAGAATAAATTTTGGACAAAGTGGAAGCAAATCCGAGAATTAGTACAAGACAATTAACTGCCCAACTTGGACAAATGTCCAACTTTGTTACGTGGCGCACGATTCACGAAAATAGTTTGTACCCATATCACCTACAAAAAGTTCAAGCCCTTCAGGATGGAGATTATGAACTGCGGTTGGAATTTTGCCATTGGTATATACAGAAAAATCAAGAAGATGCTGATTGGACTCGTAGTGTTTTGTATACCGATGAGGCCACATTTACGAGAGACGGGATTTGGGTAGCAACTCAGGAACTTAATTGTAAATAGTCCAGACATTTTTACGCGGGTGCGCGAAAGCATGCTTCGCAGAGTTTAAGCTTGCATTCTAAATAATGAAATCATTTTGAGCATCTCATATAAGGTAATACATTTTTAATTTTACATTTGGCAACACTGCCTTAAAAAGTAATAGGTTAGGTTAATCTGCGGTTCCTAGTCGATCAGTGGCGTACTTTTTGGTAGGATAAAGGTTATTATAAATTATTTTTAGTCTCTGGAATTTAGAAAAAAAAAGTTTCAGGTGCTTCTTTATGGACCCTAAGGAACTACCCATTTTAATATATAACATTAATTACATAACACCCTGTATATAAATATTAATATTTTAAGACACCATAATCCATCTTACCCCTCTTTATTTATTTTATTTATTTATAATTAACATTTTTGGCAAATTCCAATTTTAAAATCTATTAAAATTAATTTATTTCTAAAAAATTATTATTTATCAATAATAAACTTTTTTTGTCAGTTTAAATTAATTTATATTTTAAAAAATTAAAAACTACTTAAATAACGAGTTGTAAAGAATGTAAAATATGTCAAATTTTATGCCTCTTTGAAGATTGACCAACAAAAATAAGCATCGAGTTGATTTTTTTGCCAGAAAACCGATCTTCAAATGACATAATTAATGGTTTGATAAAATCGTTTACCATCTTCATCGAATTCGGTTGAAAGTTGTTTTTCATAAAAATCAAAATGAGCATGCAAAATTTTTAGCTATATATTTATACTTACTTAACCACAAAACTTTGTACCAAAGAATTCTTTTGATTGTAAAATCTAAAAACAACATTTATACTTATACTGTACTTAGTCTATTCACTAAAGTAAAATTTTTATTATAAATAATAGCATATATGCCTAGTAAATGAAATTATTTCTTTAAAAATATAGCAAAATGGTAAAACAAAAAACTTAAATACCTATTTAATATCTTGAGAAAACGAGCTAACTTTAAAAAACGGATTGCACCACTAAATTCTACACACAAAAATTCAGTTTTATATGTCCCGGCGTTTTTTGTGTTTTTGGTAGTTCTAAAAATATAAACAAATAATAAACCAAAAAAGTTACGAACTTAAATATTAAATATCTTAAGAAAACGAGCTAACTTTAAAAAAACTGATTACACCACTGAATTCTACACCCAAAAATTATGTTTACGGGTCCCGGCGTTTTTATGTGTCTTTTCAAAAGTTTGAAATTTACCTACAGTGTTATAAGTCATAAGACTAATTGTCATAGCGAAAAAGCAGTCACTAATAATTAGTCAAATTCTATTGAATGGAAGTCAAATTAGTAGATTTAAATTTAAAAAAAGTTTTGACCCAGCCGGGGATTGAACTCAGGTGTGTCATGAAGTGCACTTGTTAAGCTTGTCAACCTGTTGTCATAACCCATTCGGCTATCAACCGCTCTTATACAAATCAATTTTATTTGTCAATAAATATTGTTCATAATATTTTAAAGTTGAATATATTATTTGTGTTTATGTTTTGAGCAAAACTTTTTGCATCTTTATTTGTTTTTATGGGTCATTTAACCATGGAGCTTAGGTATATGCATTTAATTCAAATAATACTTTGTTGTTTGCCACAAACGATTAAAGAAATTAGTTATTTTAATTCTTAGAAATAGTCAAAGATGGTGACTAATCTTAAATTAGTTTACGTAGTAAAACATACCTATTTAAAAGTGAAAACGACTATTTTATTAGTAAAAAATGCTAGTACTAATTCAAATAGTAGAATTTTGACTATTTCATTTTTAGAGAGTTAATAACCAAAGTACTTAGTCTGGTTTCCACTGAATTTAAAGACCGTCGACCCCTTTGTTCGTATTCCACGTTAAACTGTAGTTCTCCTAGACTAGTAAGAGTCGTGCCGAACTAGCTAGGATAGAGCAAACACGGGTAAAGGCATAATCTAGAGGCAGTAACCGGGGATGATTAAGTCTACTTGTCAGGACGAATAAAGATAGGGTACCAGAAGGGAGTAGATATTATCTTTTTTTTTAAGGAGGCCCCTATAAACATTGTGCGATTAAAATTAATATTTTTTTGTTTATTGTGTTAATAGTAGACCAATTTTTCCAAAATAGGCATATTAAATGGTCACCATCATGTATTTAACTCCGTCCTACTACCTACCCTTACCACTATGTGTTTTAAAAAAATGTTAATTTGGTAGAAAACAAAAAATATATATTTATACAAAACTATATACCTGAACATTTTTCAAAAAATAATTTATTTCCAATGCAACTAGCCTTGCATTTGCCACAGCTTGGTCCAGTGGCGGATCAGCTCCATTTTGCCAATCAACAGATATTATAATGTAAGAATTATCACAAATCAGTTTTTGTGCGATGTGCTAAAATTAATAAAAATATTTAAATGTTGAAAAACCTCTTGTGACACATTTTTTTCAGTACTAAATTTTTGGTTGAGCCTTTTTATGCTACTTTTTCGCGATAATATACATTGTATTGTATATTATACAATATATTTATTTCATAGCTTTATTAGCAAAATACATACGGTACGCCTGAACCACTTTTAAATCAAAAGTACCAAACTTTTTTCTTGCTTTAATATGTTTTATCGGCCTAAACTAATAGTTAACAAAAAAATTAAAATAATCTTTAGAGCCGTTTTTAATAAAAATCCAAAGAGGTGAAAATTTAAGCAAACTATTGGGAATAATGGTTACTTTGTTAAATTTAACAAAAATACAAATGCAATAGTAAACTTTTCTAATATTTATTATTTAGGCATACTTTTTAAACACAAAAAACACATAAAAAACAAAAAATTAATCATCAAATCAAATCTTATCAAATCTTAGCAAAACCATGGTGAAGAGATCCCACAGCTTGCTCACCATAAAGTCCCAAACCAAATTTTCTTTTTTCACAAAATTGCTTGACATAAAAAAAGACTGCATGTACTTTCGGAGTTACTGGAATATTCAGTGCCATATGGGTTATTCTCAAAATAACTACAATCTTTGCGTGACGTGTGTTTTTTTTCCCATATTAAAAAAAAATGGTAAAAATAAGTAACATTTTTAAAGTACACAACGTTAACCAACAGTACTTTAAGTAAAAAAAAATAAGAAAAAAAATACCGCCCAAAAAACTGATCTGAATAGAGATATTGTCCTTTCCGTGGAACGTGACTATATCGTGTTGGTAAGTTTCAGTTAATGTAGTGAAAAGCCTGCATATTAAAAAAACCTAAAAAATTGCCATTATTATTAAATACCCCAAAAATACATAGATATGGTTCATATTCCTTTTTATTCTTTTTAATTTAATATTGTAGTTTAGTCATTTATACGTTACCAGTTTCGATCCATTCCGAGGACTTATTTGTAAGTGCAAAATTTCAAAAGTATTTCGCGCCACTCACGTCAACCGTTAATTTTATGTCATTAAAAAACCTGTCATTTGTTATTTAAGTCGCCCTTGTCAGTTCTTTTTTGAAAGGTTGTAAAGAAGCGTTCATGTTTATGTACGAGGCTCCAGTGTAGAAGCATAGGCTGTCCTTTCTGTTACAATTATATTTCAAATAGTAAGTATTGAATTATTTTCTAATTATTGTCATTATTATTGTCAAAGTTTTTATTTTTGGCACATGACAAATGCGAAGGCATAACATAAAATTTACCTTTCTTATAGAGAATAATATACATAGATGTCCATTCAGTGGACGTCTTTTCTGTGGACATAATTTACCCATAAATAGAAAAATTAAGGTTTGCATGCAATATCAATCTTATTTTAGTTTAGGATTTAACTAAAGCTTTACAAAAATGCTCTTGTAATAATATTACCAAACTTTTTAGTATTAAAAAAATAATAAACCGAAAGTGTAGTTATTTTGAGAATCACCCATATACGTTCTTTTAAATTCTAAAATACGTTGTACATATGTAGAACGTATTACTTGTTCAAGGCTTTCGCCAAAACAGCAATCGACAACTTTTACAAAACATGAGAATGGGTGTAAGTACATATTTAAGACACCCCTTGCAGCAGAATAATCTTAGGTATATAAAACATATTAAAGCAAGAAAAAAGTTAGTTTCTCGACTTTTGATTTAAAAGTGGTTCAGGCGTACCGTGTACAGTTAAGACATTTCTAGAAAAAAATAGCAATTATTCCGGAAGATGTTTTTAGGCAAGAAAAAAAAGGTTTCACAAAAACATGTATTGCTTAGTATTGTAATTATACAGGGGGTTTAAAAAAACATGCGCCAATGCTCGGCTGAATATTCGTCATCCAAATATTTATAAAAGTTCATAGTAGATAAAAAGTGGATTAAAATTCAAGTCAAGAGTAGGGTTTTAAAATTTCCGGAAAAATTGAGCCGACGGAAAAAAACGGTTTTTTTTTCGGAAAAAAAACCGGAAAAATTGGGAAATTTTCAGAAAAATTGACTTTTTTATTTCTTAAGAAAGTAAAAATCAATTGATTTCAAGCATTCAGCAATCAGACAAAAAACAGCAAGGATATTTGATATAATTAGCACGGTAGTAATTTTATCTTAAAAAAAATGTTATTTTTTAATTATGTCTTTGTTATAGGTATGTTAACCTTCTGAATTTATTTTTTTTATATATATTTACAAACAAAAATACGACTGATATAAATTTTATCAACCAATTTACATTTTAGATGATTTTATTGGCCAAAAAACAAATCTAGTAAACCATGACTTATATTAGCAAAATTATTTTCTACGGTTAAAAGCAAATGTCACAAATGTCAAATAAATCTTGATGGAATTTTAATTGTTTGTCTAATTTAAAATGTCAATGTATAGAAAAAGACTTTTTAGGGAAAATATAAACGTTAAAAGATAAATACCCAATTTATTCTATAAAACAACAGTTAAAAAAAAATTAACACGTTGCCATGTTGTGCAAAAACCTTTATCCGCTGATATGCTTAATCAGTTGATATAAATAAATTAACGTTTCTGCATACGGCCCTCTATTAAATTAAGATGTATATACCTATACTAGGGTATGCCAAAAAAACTCGATATTTTTTTGTCTTGCTCTCCACCCAAAATATCGTAGAATATGTCCGAACAAATATCCTCTTAAAAGCGGAGCTCATAATTTCATTTTTAAGAGGTCCTTCATCGAATCTGAAGTTTTGCCTCTTAAATAGCACAGAAAACTGACTTTTTTACCTTATTTATTCTTGCAACCTAGGAAGAATTTTTTTTTTTATAAAATCCATGACCAAATCTTACAAAGCATTAAATTTGGACGAAAAAATCTTATTAAGCCGAATTTCTATTTTCATTATTTGATTTTTTACAGAGCTTTAAATTTAAAATTTTACGTTTTTTGCCTTTTTCAGCTAAACTATTGAAGTTAGACGAAAAAGTCAAATGGCAATTTTTTAGCTTGTCTGATGGACCACAAAAAAGTTTTAGGCGAATTTTTTGTATCGTCAATATTCTAAAAGTTACAGGCGTGTAAAGTTATCATTTTTGTATTATTAACTTTAAATTTAAAGCTCTGTAAAAAATCAAATAATGAAAATAGAAATTCGGCTTAATAAGATTTTTTTGTCCAAATTTAATGCTTTGTAAGAATTATACATGGATTTTATGAAAAAAAAAATTCTTCCCAGGTTGCAAGAATAAATAAGATAAAAAAAGACAGTTTTCTGTGTTATTTAAGCGGCAAAACTTCAGATTCGATGAAGGACCTATTAAAATTGAAATTATGAGCTCCGCTTTTAACAGAATATTTGTTCGGACATATTCTACGATATTTTGGGTGGAGAGCAAGAAAAAAAAATATCGAGTTTTTTTGGCACACCCTAATATATACCTATTTAGATGTATAATGTAGAATACCAGAAAGAGATTTAGCTTTCAAAAGCATAGTGATTTTTTAGGTCATTCCCAAAATCCCACAAATCAAAGTTAATAAGTGTATATTATCAGAATGTTAGAGGGCTACGAACTAAACTTAATGCGCTAATGCAGGCAGTAAATATGTCAAATTATGATGTTATTTCCTTAAGTGAGACGTGGCTTAACGAGGATTTTTCGGATAGTGATCTAAATCTAAATAATTATAATATCTACAGAACTGATCGTACCTCTTCCACAAGTAAACACAAACGTGGTGGAGGTGTGCTGATAGCGGTAAAGAAGAACATTAGATCATCCCTTGTGCAGTTAGCTGGGCCTAATGTAGAACAAGTGTGTGTACTCTCTTAAAATGAATTAGTCAAAAATAACTAATAATAAGTCATATTTGACTAATTGTCATAGCGAAAAAGCAGTCACTAATAATTAGTCAAATTCCACTGAATGAAATAGTTAAATTAGTAAATTTAAATTTAAAAAAAGTTTTGACCCAGCCTGGGATTGAACTCACGTCTGTCACTTGAGTAGCTTGTCAACCTAACCTCATAACCAGTCGGCTGTCAGCCGCTCTTATAAAAATAAATTTTATTTGTCAATAAATATTGTTCATAATATTTTAAAGTTTAATATATTATTTGTGTTACTGTTTTGAGCTAAACTTTTTGCATCTTTATTTGTTTTATGGGTCATTTAACCATAGAGAGGTATACGCATTTAATTCAAATAATACTTTGTTGTTGGCCTTAAACGATTAAAGAAATTAGTTACTTTTAACTGTCAGAAATAGTCAAATATGGTGACTAATCTTAAATTAGTCAAACTTTAACTATTTACGTAGTAAAAAATAACTATTTAAAAGTGAAAACGACCTTTTTATTAGTAAAAAATGCTGGTACTAATTCAAATAGTAGAATTTTGACTATTTCATTTTTAGAGAGTAGGGTTAAAATGGGTAATAAAAATTTCTTAATTGTGACAGTGTATTTACCACCAGGGTGTACCTTTGATGTATTTTATCAACATTGTACAGATATCAACAATATTCTAGAACAGCAGAAAAATGAATCAATCATAATTTGTGGCGATTATAACTTACCAAATGTGCAATGAATAAATGAAGAACTAGGTGTTCGAGCAGCGGGAACTGTTAATGAATGTGCGGAATTGTTATGTGATACCTTTGCTTCTCACAATTTATATCAAGTAAACATATATTAGGTATAATATTATACCTAATGCATTAAATAAATTTCTTGATTTAGTCTTCAGTAACAGCGTAGATACTTATACCGAAATTTCAAATGAAATACTTTTACCATGTGATGTGTACCACCCTGCTATATGTATAAACCATCCAAATGTAGAAAATTTTGAATCACTTAAATTCCAACATGTATATTATGATTTTCGTAATGCAAACTATTTTGCGCTTAATGAACATTTATCTGTTATCAATTGAAATGTAATATTTT